AACTTCAAGTCTCGACATCCCAGGCGGCAGCTTTCTGGTGACCATGGACGTCTGCTCACTGTACACCAACATACCCCACCATGACGGAATAGCGGCTATGGTTTCTGAATATGTAAAATCTGACTCATCAACTAGTGTAAGTGGCGAGGTACTGTTTACACTTCTTGAACTTGTACTAAATTATAACCATTTTGAGTTCAATGGCAAGCATTTCCTTCAGATCAGTGGCACTGCAATGGGCACGAAAATGGCCCCAAACTTCGCGAGCACCTTTCTAGGGGCGTACGGCTGGGCCAGGTGGCGCGCCGGAGTGATACTAGCAGCGCTGCGCGCGGCGGAGAACCGCCCTAGTTGGCCGCAGGCATACCGAGCTGCCGTGCCGCCGCTGCTGGTTTTCAATGGCGAGTAACACGTTGGCGTTCTATTGCGGCTTTCTTCCTCTCGAAAACTGTGAGCTATTTTTTAGGGAGGCGAACCTGACGAAGGGAAAGCTACTCGTGAAACATGTGTTCGAGGTGGAGGAGAGAATACAAGCAGACGAGCATCAGCTGAACGCCAAGTGCGTTTCACAAGTGAAAGACAACGTCGTCTACGATGTGCGTCTGAAGGTAAACGCTCTTTCTCCTTTTATGTTCTTTCTACCGCTCTTGTCGAATGTATTCGCGCTCAGAGGCTAAGTACACAAAGGTGGTGATACTAAATTGACTTTTCGCATGCAGATTTGCGCTCATACACGGTCCGTAGCCTCCGGGACGTGCTCTTGCAAGGCGGGAATAACCGGCCGCTGTAAGCATGCCGCGGCTGTGTGCGCCTACGTGAATCAGGCAACTGACGATACCTGTACAAGCAGACCTCAGCAGTGGGGAAAACCGTCGAAAAAAACACAGCGGGACGTGAACAAGACCATCGCGGACCTTTTCCCAGGTATTTTGATTAGGAATGCATTCGCTCGATTCCTCTTTTCACCGTGGATTCGTCATTGATTTATTATGAGGTTTAACGTGCCGACGCTACACAGACGACGGGGCGCGCCATAGTGCAGGGTTCCGGATGAATTTTGACCACCTGAGGATCTTTAACGTGTGCCGAAAGCTCAAACACACGGGCGTTGTTGCTTTTCGCCTGGGTCATAAAAGCGGCCGCTGCGGTCGGGAACCGAACCCGTTTTCTTGACATACCCTGGTTTCGTGAACTTATCCTCCTCCTATCTCTACTTTTAAACCGAGTGAAAGCTGATTAGTTTCATGCTAGCAGCGTTGCATTCTTCGTGAAAGTAACACCAAAATTGCAATTTCTATGCAGTTGCAAGAGGCTGAGAAAAAATGGCCTCTCGAAGTCTTTCTTTTTACTCTCCATACACGGCTATCTGAATGTTTCTAGAACCTCTCTACACAAAAAAGTGTGTAAAACTGTTCTTCCTCCAAAAGTTGCAGGGATAAATCAATTTAAGTAAAAGTTCCAGTTATTCAACTAGGTGATTCAGAAATTCTAATGCCTGTATAGCCGCTTAAAAGGTAATAAAGCTCGGTCAGTGCGAAGTATATTAAAAAATCTAGGATGGAGCTAATAGTGTAAGTTTGCCTTTAATGACCACTGTTAACCTGACCGGAATTCTTTCTTTTAGCTGGACCCCTCATGTGTGCCAAGGACACAAGGCCATAGTCGCCCACTGATGTCATGGCATGCTATGAAGATTTAGTTTGCCCACTCAACAGTGTTCTAAAGGCCATGAAGATGACGGAGGTAGAGCAAGAGGCCAAGATAGTGGTAGAAAGTCTGGTGTCGACGGTCTCCGCCAACATTGAAAAAAAAGCATCTGGCGGCCCTTCTTAGAAATATGAGTGCTGACAGGACACTGTTTCACCATACGCGTACTGTGTACGACCTCAACATTCAAACAACGCAGCAAGTAAACACAGACTTTGTGGGTGGCCTGTCCTGCGAGGCCAGGGTCATTTATTGTACAGAGGTGTGCTTGGCTGATGAAGTCGTCGACCTCGCAACGCCAACCCGTGGCCAGTCGAGCAATTTTCGGCAAGTTGGAAGACATGTTTACAATAGAGAAAAGTTTTATTAGATGAATGACAGGAGAAAGACAGAGAAATGATCACTCACTTCTTCCGCCGCACAGCCTTAATCCAGGCTTCTCGGTGGTCTGTCTCGTACCACTTGCCGGGAAACGAATAGAACCTGACGATGGGCTCTTTTCCCTTCGTGTTTGCGACGCTGTTGTGGCACCCAACTACACAATATTTAGAGCCCGGTCTTTTCCTCTTAGGCACGCTAGTTTTCATCACGGCGAAGCAGCAAGCAGCGTACTCCAAGCGAATCTGCGGTCGAGCGCGCCCCGTGTGCGGCAATGAATTGGAGCAAAGGCCGCCAGGGGAGGAAACGGCGCTGCACGCGCGCGGCGAAACTTGAGCCGTACGTCCCTATGGCTTCACTTCAAATCCAATTCATTGAGAGAAACACCTTGAAACCTTTCTACTACAGAAGATACTTAGACGATATGTTTATGATATGGAACCATGATGAGGGAAGTCTTTTCCGCTTCATAGAGGATTTTAACAAGTGCCACCCGTCAATAAAATTCACGCACAAAGTTTCCAAAACTAGCATTAACTTTTTGGACGTCACTGTCACGGTCAAAAATGACCGCTTCTCAACAAACCTTTACAAAATGCCTACAGACCGTCAAATGTACCTACATTTCAACAGCAGCCACCCAAAGCATGGAAAAACGGGTATTCCATATTCTCAGGCCTACCGGTACCGAAGAATATGCACCAATATGCGCGAATTCGACAGACACGCGGAACACCTAAAGCATTCCTTATTGAAACAAAATTATCCGGAAGACATTATTGACGATGCCATACTACGTGCTCGCAACGTGAACAGGAATGATATAATTAAGGGACCAAACAGAGTATCTAAAGCAACTTCCCAAACAAACCTTGTACTAACTTACTCCTTATCAGCGCCAGGAATCAACAACATACTTTCCCGCCATTTCAACATAGTTAGGCAAAGCAAACGACTAACTTCTATTTTCGCGAAGCCACCTCACGTGGTGTACCGCAGGGATAAAAATCTGAAGGACATTCTTGTCAGAGCAAAAACAAACACCCCCAAATTTCAATCAGGGTGCCATCCCAGCGGAAAAGCTCGATGCAAGGTATGCCCACAGATGATCACAACACGTGAATCCAAAGCGAACTTCTCGGATTTCAAATTCTGCATAACTGAAAGCCTTAATTGTGACTCCAGTAACGTAATATACATGCTACATTGCAACATCTGTGGACAAGAATATATCGGCCAAACACACACGCCATTTCGGCTGTGGTTCAATAATCACCGGTACCACGCCACTTCACTGCCGAAGCTACCTTTATCTAGACATCTGCGCCTGTCAAACCACAGTTTTGAAAATATCAGCGTAACTCTTTTGCAGTCCGGTTTCTCAAACAGGCGCGAGCGCGAACAGCGTGAGGCATATTTTATTTTCAAATTTCGAACATTAGTAGCCGGCATCAACGAGGACCCCGGAAAACTCAACTGCCTCCGAGAAGTAAGCCAGGAGGAAATTGGTGACAAAGATTGATAGCTGGAGACCATGCTCTTTTTTTCTGACTGACTCGTACGTGTACACTGTCCTTTCTTGTTTTTTGTTCTTCTTTTTTTCTTCTTTTTTTGCTTTTTTCTACATGCACATACAAATTGTTTACGTTCGCCTACCACTTAACGACCATTGAAGGGAAACGGACGAAGATAAAAGGTAAAGAGCCGACCAACCCATTGAGGGGAAACCCTTTCTTTACGCACGCCGCACGCCGACCGACCCATTAAGGGGAAATCCTTTCTTTACGCACGCCATCACGGACCCTCCCGCCACCGCGGCGACAATCTTGGGTGGCCCGACACACGTCGAGAACTGAACGGCACGTGATAAGAACCGTATGTGGATGTACACGGACAGTTGGTTTCGTTCTCAGTGTTGACAGTGGTTATTGCTCTTTTTTACTTTCTTTCTTTTCGTTCTCTTTTTTTCGTCTTTTTTGTTCCTCCTTTTTTTTCTTTCGTTCCTTTTTTTAGTTCCCTCTCACTCTCGCACACATCTTTCAAGGCGAGAGGGACGCGGCAGCAACGAAGTTTGGAAGTTCATGTCAGTATAACTCATCCCCTGATGAAGGGAGTACCCCTCCCGAAACTGTTGGGGAAATAAATATATTTATCCTTGTTGACAATGCTCCCGTTGTGCCATATCCCATACCTTCACGAAGACTAACTGGCCCATTGAATTATTGCTCCCATATATATATATATATATATATATATATATATATATATATATATATATATATATATATATATATATATATACTATATATATATATATATATATATATATATATATATATATATATATATCAGTGTGTTTGTGTGTGTCCTGTAAAAATAAAGAGTAAACACGGGACCCGGATGCTCAAAAGAATATATATATTAAAAAAATTATTGCGGAAAAATTTGAGGTTTTGGCCGCAAAACTGGCCTTCATGATAATTTTTATTCTGACTGTTGAGCTCCACAGAAGTCCTACGTCTCATGGAAGCCACTTTTCCAGACTTCGCCCCCAAATTTTGCTGCAGCGGCGAACTGCAGTTGGCCACTGCAGTGTATATATATATATATATATATATATATATATATATATATATATATATATATATATATATATATATATATATATATATATATATATATATATATATATACTTTTCATTTTCTATGAATTAACTTGTATATACAGAAAATTTGCGTGAAAAATGTACAGCCGTGGAGCTACGATAACTTGATAGCTTAGTCGTTTTTAGGGCAACAAATGGGGCCCTCGGCCCCTTGCACGCTTGCGAAAATGATTAGCGACATGGCATTCGGTTGTAAGCAATGCGGCGCATGTATAGGTAAGGAAACAATGCTGCTTCTGCTGAACTCAGGTGCGACCGTGGAGGTGATCCTGGAATTTGAGCGGAGAGAATCGGTGATAGCTTCAGCCTGCATCGCACTCTTCTACACCTTCACGGGCGGCCTCTACTCCGTGGCCTACACGGACGTCGTTCAACTGGTCGCCATATTTTTCGGACTGGTGAGCTCAAGTGACACATTTTGATTGTCACGTATAATTGCACGCTTTCTTCTTTCATCATTGAAAAAATAATTGAGGATAGAGGAAGGACACTTACGCAAGAACAGTTGGTTCTGACTACAAAAATATACAACTTACATATGGAGAACTCAAGGTATGACATAGTTCTTGCCAGTTTTTTGAAAACGAACGTATCGCTTGCAACATTGTGCCTATAAGGTGACCTAACGTTCAATAGCCGACAGCTGAGGAACCCATTGGGAATTAGGCGGCATATATGGCAACTGAACTTTAACGAACATTTAACCAGGCCTCCTCGCATTTCGAGAAAAACCCTAGTAACACAGATAACCCTTTCACAGCAGTGCTTCGGACTTACTCTTGTTAGTCAGCGTTATTTAAATTTCTTCAAATATATGACGACAAGTCCCCCAAGAATTGAAAGCTTACTTGTGTGCGTCGTGCGCGTGGGTTTTCTAAAGTCATTACACTGAGCTTGCCCCCCCCCCCCCCCCTCCTCCCTTGTTTGTTCTCAAGAAAACGATTCCGAAAATTCAACTGCATCATAAGAGACATGAAACAGAGAGGACTCCTTTGGTCTCTTCGGGAAACCACAAATGCGGTTTTCATTTCGAGTGCATCGCTTTGCTACCTATTGTCCAGTATACTGGTCCTGGGTTCGAAAAGAAGATGGAGGCCCCGGATTTTTCTCGTCATGTTTATTTGGCTCATTTTATGGTCTCATTGTGAACGAATCAAATAGTTTGACTACATGCACAATTTGCCATTGAGCTTGATGGTGTAGATGAAACAGCCCCCGCTGGCGAGCAGTAAAGTGAAGTCACCACTCTGCACGTGCGCCTTCGTGATTCTTCTGTATTACTTCTTCATGATTTCTTAAATTACGCACTAGCATTAAAATTTACGGGTAGTACGCCCTTTAAAGGTTTGAGTGATACCGATGCTTTGTAAAAAATCTTAAAGAGCATCTTTTTTGCTCTACGCAATGTGATGTTACTAAGAGAGGAACAGAAATTGGTAAGAAACAGAGGTTTCCATGTGCATGGAATTCGTAATATTCCACATCATAAAACATTTCTAAAGTGTAATTCACGGAAAAAAAGCTTGCCCGAGATAGCCCCCTTTACTACCCTGATTGTAGAAATGCATGTAAACGCAATAAGACTGCTGAGCAGAAGTGAAAAACGCAATAAACATATTGCTGGATCCGATGAGTGCCACCCGCGAATATAGTGAAATAAATGGCACAGTAAAGCCTGTAGTATAGTTGCTCCGAGCAAAAGGCATGAAGGACTAACAGCAAAAAGAACAGGACAAATATGTGTGAAACACACTTGTCCTGTTCTATGACGACATGACAATTTTGAAGTGTCGTTCGTCCGAAGTTCTTTGCGCCTTTCGCTTGTTGAAGCTACACCCTAAACAATCAGGCCACCTTGAAGCGTTTGCTTGAATAAGATTCCAATGCTATAGAAGTAAAAAGACGCAAAGAATAGTTTGATCATGCTACCCAATATCATCTCTGCGACCAAGTTACACAAAGTGAAAGTGATGGGGGTCTACGCAAGGTAGAAATGTTGTCGAAAAGGGCTTTTTCTACCATTGGATGATTTCATTGACAAAGATATTGAAGGACAATTCCACATGCTGCCTCTTAAACGCTCCATAAGAGACAGTAAGATAAAAGAAGGGCTCGAGGGAAGGGCTGCTTGTTAAGGAGCGAAGCCTTGGGAAGTGTAAAGGGTGTTGTGATGGGTTTATCCTAAGCTTAGTAATTAAAAATGATATGAATATGGACGAGAAAGCCCATGCAGTTCAAAGCCACTGCTTTGGTGTTGAGCGCATGATACTCTACGAATTAATTCAAGGTGGTGGCCCTTCTTTCTTATGTATAGATAGAACAAACAAGAGAAACGTTTAGGATGCGAAAAATGTTTTACGTGAAAATACCCTCAAACATCAAATAGCAAAACGCTCAAAACATCAAATTGTGTAAGAATAGGCTTATTGGCAGTTATACATGATGACACCGAGATTGAGGTCAAGAGGGTGCTCTAGTTTAACTTCAAGATAGGGCAAAAGATCGAATTGTGGATCTCAATATTTGTTCTAATTGTGACGCAATGTGTTAAACCAACGGTTCTATTTGATAGAGTGGATATTAAAATGCAATCAGGTGAAATTGGAGTATACTTAACGCTCAAGTTTGAATCAGTTCAGGTTTTAAAAGCAGCAGAAAGATCTCATAAACGCGCAGAATTGAGCCTAATAAGCCGTATAACCGCGAAAGCCTACCGTGTTGCCAGTTTACCAAAACGTATCTCCGAACCATTTCGAGTGGTATACTCTCAGACCACTGCGTGTTGCATTAGGGTCACTATAGGAATTGCCATGTTAAAATAAGGAACTGTAAATGACATGTTTTGTGTTGTTGACTGCCCTATGTGCTGCGTGGGTGCAGTGGCTGTGCCTTCCTTTTGCTATGTTTCACGAGGCCGTGGGCGTGATATCTTATCCCAAAAATGACTTCATCGGGACCGTCGAGTGGCAAGACTTCGGCATCTACTGGGATTCCATGCTGCTCCTCATGATGGGCGGCATTCCGTGGCAGGTGCGTGAAGGTATTCCAGAGATGATATGGCATATTAACCATTTCATCGACAGTTTTACTTCCGCAAAGCGTCCCAGACTCTGCAGCATTGTCAAGTATACATAATTCTTTCCAAGCAATTGTGAGTCTTGAAATATTTTGACGTCAGATAAAACAAAAAAAAAGATGTTGGGTGGTGGGGAGAGGGTATTCAGACGCCATGCAGCGATAACCTCAGCGGTGTTGAGGCTGCCCCGAAGTTATTAGATGCGAAGCAGCGCCAACTCTTGTGTAACGCTGTCCCTACGTCCGCACCGCTCCCCTCGCTGCAGATGGAGTGGTGCCAAGTAGCTCACACCCGCATAGCAGTGCACGGGGACGTCTCTTTTTCTCGCCTGCTGCACGCTCGCCGCGAGTCAGCTCTAGCTCGCTTCACCCTCTCCGCTACTCGCAGTGCTCGAGCCAACTTGTCACGTGGACATCATCTCACCCGTGCCACCTTTTTCTATCTGTCGGCGAGAAGAAGCCACAAGCAGGCGGGTGACCGAGCACGCTTCGAGAATCTCGCGCAATCGCGCTGATGGGGGGGACGCAGTCACAGAATGGTTTCCGCTAGTTTGGGCGTACCTTTCGCAGCTGTCGTTGGCGTTACGAGGGTTAGTGAAGCCGATCGCTTTCGCAAATGGTGACGTCAATACTGACGAGGTGCCAGCCAGGGAAGCGGGACGCAAGTGTCGGCAGTCGAAGACCAGCGACACCAACGAGGCGTGAGTCAAGAACACCGATCGCGTTCGAGAATACAGACGGCGCGCTGGTAACACTGGCGAAACGCGAGTGAAGGAAGTCGAGCGTAAGCGTCGTCAACGCGTCCCGCTTCCCGTGTCTTTGCGTTTCCAACAAGCATTTACTCGAGTAAACGCTACACCAAGTTTCTCTTCAAACCGTTCCTTAAGCACCCACGTCGACGCCCGTTTCAACCGGGTCAACGCCATCAGCGCCGTCGCTGCTTGCAATCCCATCAGGGTTCCTTTCGGGGACATGGTCAATAGTTTTGTTATTCCAAGGCACGTCTTCTTCCTATTACCCTCTTTCGGTCCCAGCTACAGTGCCAAAACAGGCATACATAGACTGTGCCTGTTACACTATGTTACAGTATTTAGTTCTGACGTCCTGTTGGGCTCGCTCGCTGGATTTCGTGCCAACCGGCTGTACTCCCCCCCCCCCCCTCCCGATCTCCGACGACAGCGCAGCTCTGGCCGACCGGCTCGCCCTTCGCCATCTCCTGACGCCGCGAAGCTCTCGCTGAGTGTTGCCCCGTCCTCAGACTCCTGCGACCGTGTCCGTCTTTCCTATATTCTCGTTATTTCTGTCTGTGGGTCTCTCTGTCCCTGTCTCTATCTCTATCCCAATCCTTTTTAATTCCTTCTCACCGCCATTCGTCATGAGGTACTGTTGAGGTGTCATACTATGATGCCGACTTTTACAGGGCTCACTTCTATCTTCTCTTCTCTCTTTTAATAATAACTTACACAGATGTCCTTTTGCACGGAAAGCAGTCTGGTCAGGAACAAGCATGAAACAATTAAAGCAAGAATTTTAATTTGTTAACAAGACTCCCATACGGGCGCTCAGTGACTCTTTCTTTCATTTGCTTTGATCAGGTGCTGTTCTTTTTCCGCATTGAAAAGAAAGCCTGTAGCGGCACTTTAGCAGTGCGCTCGCTGTCCGTCCCACAGATCCTTTCCACGTTTCGTGGGCATGTCCCTAAAATACAAAAAATATATGACCAGCATTGTCTTGTTTAGCCGCTCGGTGAGGCCTTTGGTACTGGGTGGTACGCTGTCGTCCGGTGGTGGCTTGTCGGGCTGTATGCCAAGATCGCCTGAGTTAAGTCAGCCGTAGAACCAAACAGTCCCAGAGTCAGGATGGCGAAGCCTCCTTCCTTATCAGCGGGAAGGACGGTCAGAGAGTGCTCCTTGAGAAAAGCCTCAACTCTCCTGAGAGGAATTTTGGATCCAGCTGGTCTGTAGCGCGAAACAGTCCTGACTCTGGGACTGTTTGGTTCTAAGGCTCACACTTCCGTAAGCTCTGTTTTCTCCTCTCGCGAGGACGTCCGCATTGAAAAAGTTAAATCGGTAGCAAAAAAGCTATGCAAAGACCTTAACCTTTCTCGAGTTGTCAGTGGCATCACAAATAGTAGGCATGACTTTTTAAAAGTGTTTTTTAATGCAAAGACTCACAAGAGTAGTATGCCTCTTAGGGTAATTGTTTCAGAATGTGATACATGGCAAAAATCGATTGCTACCTTTTTGCAAGAACAGTTGAACCAGCTTAACGTTGATGATCCTTTCATAGTAAAAAGTTCTGATCAAGTCATAGATTATGGGAAAACTTGTGTCGCTGAGCATGTTTATGGTTTTTCAGTTGACGTGACTGATTTGTATTATTCTATTCCCCATGATCAGTTGCTTCCTGCGGTTGAAGAGTGCATAGATTTGTTTGGCTCTGTTAGATTTCAAACCGAGTGTGGTGTTCCTGTCAGTCGGTTTTGAGAACTTTTCTCATTTTACCTCAAGACGACCTTCATTTCATGGGATGACAAGCCTTTTATTCAAAAGGACGGAATCTGTATCGGGTCCTGCATTGCGCCTATTTTAAGCGACATATTTTTAAGTAGAATTGACAGATCGATCTACCTACGTCTTGATAATTTGAAGATAAAAAAAGTGTTCTGGTATGTCGATGACTATCTTGTTTTATTATCTAACGACACGGTAGCAGATGAGGCAGGTTTGGCAAAAATAATTTCACATTTTTCTGAGTGTTTTAAACCCTTGACTCTCACACACGAACTGCCTGAAAGCAATGCCATAAAATTCCTCGATGTCCTCTTCACCTTTCATCCTAACTGCATATGTTGGGCTTACCAACCACGTATGAACAAACCGGTCCTTCCTTACCAATCAGCTCACTCCAAACTAGTGAAAAGAGGCATAATTAGTCATTGTTTTCGTCATGCTTTAAGCAAATCTTGTGAGCACGAAATCGCCATTAGTTTTCATAATCAGTCAGACCGTTTGTTGAAAGCAGGTTATCCTATGCACGTCCAAACTTCAGTTGCAGAAGGCTTGCTTCGTACGCTTCGCAACCCAGGATGTACAGCGAGTCGTGATTCCGAGAAACCGAAGCACCTAGTCGTCATACCATACTATCACAAGATATCGCACAACCTAAAAAAATTAGCTAAGCGCTCTGAAGTTAGGGTTGTCTTTTTGGCTCCCAAGAAGTTGGTCAGCCTGTGTGGCCTTCATGATCATGACGGAAAACCATGACGGAAAGGTTGTAGTAAGAAGCATCGAACGGTTTATGTTCCCTGTATCTTATGCGTTGTTTATCGTATCCCGCTTTCTTGCGGTAAAGAGTATATTGGACAGACGGGCCGTTGCCTTAATGATCGATTAAGAGAACATTGTAATAATGTGAAAAACGGCCAGGGAAGTTGATTGGCCATGCATTGTAAATCCTGCGGCTGCGCGCCGATATTCAATGCATGCACAGATATCAAGAGAATGTTTGACAAGCTTACTAGAGAGATTATTGAGGCTGAGGCTATCGCTTCACTGGGGTATAAGTGCGTCAGCACTCCCTCTCTTACGCTCAGTGATAAAAAATTGTATTTTTCAAGAAATTAATTTTTTGTGCGCATCATTCATGTCATGTGATGTTATTTTTCTTGGTGATATAGGCGAGTGTGCGGTGGTAATAAACATTATGTTGGAAGTTAGCGCCTGTGCCGTGTGTCCTCGTCTTGTGTCCTTGTTTCTTTGCGCTATTTTCTGTCGTCACAATGCACCAACAAGCCCAAATTTCGACAATGTTGTACCAAATTGGGTTGATTGATTGGTGGGGTTTAACGTCCCCCCCCAAAAATACCAAATTGGGTATCACGCGACGTGAATAGACGACGAAAATAAATGACACGTTCAAACATGATAATCATGATAAGAGTATCATGTAGAACATGACTACATGCTTAGATCAAAGCATGCTCACGGCCGTTTCGCTAGCTCCGCATATACCATATTTGGTATCACGTGACGTGAATAGACAACGAAGGTCAGTGACACGTTCAGTAATGATAATCGTGACATGCGTGTCATGTAAAACGTGACTGCATGGTACGCTCATAGCATGCTCATGACCGTTTCACTAGCTTCACATATACTAAACTTGGTATCACGTGATGTGAATAGACAATGAAGGCGAATGAGCGAATGACACGTCTAAAGATTTTAATCATGGCAAGGAAGTCATGTAGGGCATGCCTTACGCCCATTTCGCAACGTTGTGCTGATTTTAGAGTGAGATATCAACCTCCATGATGCGTGCTTCGTATATCACCAATTTCCACTGCACGTGGGATCTGCCTTTTTTATTTCAGCTTCAATATACTTCAGAGCTTTTAGGTCAGCGCAGGAAGGGTAGAACATAGAATGGTTATAACTGAGCGAAAAGGCGTGAACACATTCCAGAGAGACAGTGCAATATTGGATCGAATGTTAACGTCTATTTCAAGGACACAGTGTTTAGATAACATGCCAGTACGATATAAAAACGTAATACACTAATTCGATGAATCAAATGTCACTGATTCCTTGAGCGAAAGAGCCTACCGTTCAACAGGACCCTGCCAATAATGGTAGCCTGTTTCAGTATGCTGTTAACAATAAAAAAACAGAGGTTTTATGAATCTCATTGTGTCTTTTAGGCGGTCATAATGTGTTATTGTGATTGATCGCATTTTGCCATTACAGGTGTACTTCCAGCGGGTCCTCTCCAGCCGTACGGCTGAGGGTGCCGAACTGCTTTCGTACATGGCTGCACTGGGTTGCCTGTTCATGGCCATTCCTCCAGTGGTAATCGGTGCGGTTGCTAAGGCTGCCAGTAAGTGGACAAGTCAGGTTACAAGCGCCTAGTGGGTCGCACGAGTGAGCTGCTCCACAGTTGTCCAAGTGGCAGTCTGCTGAAAGAGAGCGGGTGCGACACTCGGAACGCGCGTCGCGTTTTTTTCCAGCCCGGCTGTGGCTGAAATTGAGAAAGGCTTCACTGAACGTAACGATTTTAATAAGAACAGAAGACACTACCGTTTTTCATCGATTTTTAGAGCAGAAAGGCTACCGTGGAAGGTTTTGCAACTTATCTGTCGTAATAATTGCTTTGCCTTTGAGACTAAACTGTGGCGGCTTTCCACAGTGGAGCTTTTTATTGTTTAGCTGATAAGGGATTTCACCATGCTTGAAATGACAAGGCCGTATAGAGAAAAGACGTTTTCACAAAGGAAGGGTACAGGATGAGCACTCGTCCCTGTGCTTGTTCCTGAAGGCTCTTTTCGTTAACGCGTCTTTTTTTTTTGCGAGACTTTTTGATTTCACGCATGTCACGCACAGTAGGCTAAAACTAGTTTTACTAGAGACTTGAGCAAGTTGTTCAGTATTCATCTTGAAAGAGCGCAACAGCACGAAGAAAAGAGGAACGGCAACTTCTTCGTCAGCGTTTGTTTCTTCCTGCCGCTCAGCTTTTTCAAGACTGTTTACGTTGTTTAGGTTTTTTGTTTCTCCGGTTCACATGACCAGAAAACTAAAGTGCGCCAAGGACGCACAGGCCAATCAATATATTATCCGACATTTTATTCTATTTTATTTTACTTACTGTACCCTACCCTCAAGGCCTGAGGGCATTACAGGGGGGAGTGGTGAACGGAAAATTGTACAAACTTGGGTAGTAAATAACAGAACAAGTACGTAATACAACAGTGCAATAAAACAAACGACTAGAAATAGCAGTACAAACAATGTAGCAAGGAAATGCTTTGAAATAATATTAAAAACAAACAAAGTAACCTGACAACAATTCCTGTTTATACAACTTTACAATAATAATAAGGTGCCTTGAACTCCAAGTTGAACAATGTTAGCTATAGCCTCTCGAAAAAGTTTATTATCAATGATGGTGACTATGTCATTGGGAAGGTGGTTCCTTTGTCGAGATGTTCTAGGGAAAAATGAATGACTAAAGGTGTTGGTGTTTCCTGCTTGAATTCAGAATTTGAAGCGATGGTGTACACGGTGCGATAAGTAATTTGGCTGTGAAATGAAGTTATTATGAAGAAATGGGTGACGGTATATCTTATGAAACAGAGTTAAGTGAGCGATTTTTCTTCGTGATGCTAGTGATAGAAGACATAGGTTAGCTTTTATCGAAGATATGCTGGAAGTGCGGTTATGATTGGAATAAATGAAACGAACAAAATTGTTTTGAAGGAGTTCTAGAGAGAAGACGAGGTTTTCGTTGTGTGGGTCCCACACTGCTGTGGCGTATTCTAGTTTTGGACGCACTAATAACTGATAAAGTAGTAATTTCAAAGATGACGGGGCGTTACAAAATTTGTGACGTATGTAGCCAAGCGTGCTCTTAGCTCTACTGGTTATGTATTCAATATGAAGAGACCAGGTTAGGTTTGAAGATATACGAACGCCTAAGTATACATATGAATTCACAGGATCGGAGGGGACATTATTCATATGGTAGAATAGAAGGGTGGTAGAATTTCTATGAACACGTAAAATTTTACATTTGTAAATATCTAGTTGCATTCGCCAGTTATTACACCAATAATTTATAAGGTTTAAATCTGATTGATGAGCATTAGAATCGTCGGTACTGATTATTTCACGGTAAATTACGCAATCGTCAGCAAATAAGTGAACATGAGATGTCAATGTAGATGGCAAGCTGTTAATATAGATTAGAAAAAGAAGTGGTCCTAGTACTGATCCCTGAGGCACGCCGGAACGAACTTCAGTTACAGGTGAGTCTTGATTATTAGCAGTAACAAACTGATGGTGGTTACAAAGAAAATATTTAATCCATTTCAGTATGTTATTATCGAGGTTCAAAAGACAGTTTGAAAAGAAGTAGTTGATGCAAACCTTTGTCAAATGCCTTACTAAAATCTAAAAACACGCAGTCAGCAGATGAGGCGCGATCTAAAATACAGTTTAGTCCATGAGTAAATGATATTAGTTGCGTTTCGCATGAGTAAGTTTTACGGAAACCGTGTTGAGCTGTGGTGAAAAATGAGTTGGAGTTGAGAAAGTTAACCAGGTTGTCGAAAATTACGTGCTCAAGAAGTTTGCAACAGGTACTGGTCAGTGAGATTGGGCGGTAATTCACGGGTGAGTTTTTGCTGCCGGACTTCTGCAGAGAAACCACTTTCCCTATCTTCAATTGCGAAGGAAGAGTAGATGAGCCTATGGATTGTTGAAAGATTTTGGTCAATATGATGGAGCTGCAGACGCTAGTGCTTTTTAAAAAATTTGCTGTTGAGGCCGTAAAAGCCTGGAGCTGAGTTAAAGGGCAATTTATCAATAAGTTTAGCAATGCCAGATGAATGTACTGTTACATGATCCATGATAAAATAGTTGCATGCGCTGGTGTCCGGTAGGTGAATGTTGCTTGCAACCGAGAAATTATTGCAAAATGCGTCATTAAGAGTGATCGCGCAAGTGTTACTTGGGATTACGTTGCCTTCTGTGTCTTTTAGAACGATAGTACTATCGCAAAGGGGGTTAATGACACGCCAGAACTTGCAAATGTCTGTTTTGATCGTGCCTGGTAGTGTGTGGATTAGGTAATAATTTTTAGCTTCCTTTAGGGCAGATATATATGTACGGCTAGCGGTTTTATAAGATTCCCAACGTGCTTGGTTAGAAGATGATTTAGGTGAACGGTAGAGCCGTTTCTTTTTGTTAAATAGGCGCTTGATGTATGAGTTATACTAAGAGGCATGTGTGAGTGAAGTGATGGTACTATTAGGAATGTACTTTTCTGTCAACAGACGTACCTGATCTGCAAAAATACTCCAGTTAATCTCAACATAACCCGTTATCAAAGTTAATCAAATAACCGTCGAGAAATGAGCCCAATGCATCGTTATTCACCTCAAAACTAGCTGTCTTGTAATCCCAAATAATTTTCTTAACCGTAGTTATTTTAGGAGCGCTACCGTTATTATCAAGACATATTAAAGAATGATCGCTAATACTAGGCAGAAAAGTTATAGCCGAAGCTAGATCTGGACGATTAGTTAGGACTAAGTCAAGCGTGCTCGCAGTGGTGAAAGTGATTCTGGTCGGCTGGGTAATGAGCTGGGACAGGGAAAACACGGAACAAAGTTCGCAAAACTCTTTCGCCTGAGTTGAAAAAGGTGTTATACAAGGTGGTTATGTGTTCCATAACAGATTGGGAAAATTAAATGATTTGATTTGTGGGGTTTAACGCCCCAAAACCATCATAAGATTATGAGAGACGCCGTTGTAGGCCCGTGTACCCAAATCGGAGTACACGGGCCTACAACATTTCCGCCTCCATCGGAAATGCAGCCGCCACAGCCGGGATTTGATCCCCTGACCTTCGGGTCAGCAGCCGAGTACTGGGACAAATTAGTCACCGAGTAAAAACAAGGGCGATGATGAAAACCGAGATGAAACAAGGTTATTAGCATCATGTTAATTGTCGATGAAGGTGGCAGATGATGAAGGCGAGCGATAGCATACACCAATGATTATCTTTGTATGACTGAGTGTTAGGCAAGCACATGTGCATTCAAGCTCGGTTTTAATGTCTATATGATACGACGGAACATCTTTAGAAATGGCGAGAACAACACCCCCTCTTCGGCGCTCATTGCGATCCCACCGGTATACAGTGAGATTAAAAGCACCATGAAATATATCACAATCAAGCACATGTGCTGGAAGCCAGGATTCGGTAAGGGCGACAATTTTAGCGCTGCACGTGTCGATTGCAGACGACAACGAAAAGTGTTTGTTGACAACACTTCTTGCATTTGTAAAAAGAATGGGCAGAAAAAAATGTGCCTGCATGAGATGATCGGCCACTTCCCTCATTGTTTTGCTATTGTGCCGGCAACGATGCATTCGCACGATTTAGTCCAGCACCTGTTGCATTCTTAATCAGTTCGTGGACAGAATTGTTAGTAGCGTAGTACACGTAGCATTTATTGTTCAAAAATAATTTATTGTAACGAAGCTTTAAGTTGGAAGAGCCAGGCTGGGCGGTGCCGAATTCAAAGAGTTTTTTGCGGGCGGTGCGGGTGGGTAAATAAAAGTCTTCACCAACTGAAAGATTTTGTTCTTTAAATTGGTTCCGCAGAGCAATCACGCTTTTCCTTGTATTGAAGTGCGAAAATTTTGCGATGATGGGGCGGCACTTGTTCGGATTGAAGGAACCGAGATGATGTGCGCGTTCTATTGCACCATCTGGAAATGAATCGGAAACTCATCTTATTGCTGTGATTAGCATGGATTCGGTTTCTCGCCACGATTTTTTTGTGTCGGGAATACCCCGGAATATAAGGTTATCACAGCGTGATCGATCTTCAAGTTCAGCGATGCGTGAATCGAACGTACCTAAACAACCAGCAGTTTTTTCAAGCTGAGCCAGCGCGGATGCCACATCCTTAGTTAATTTATCGACTTTGCATGATTTTTCTTCGAGCAAAACTAAGCGTTGTTGAAGACCATCAATTTTCGTTTCGATGACCTTCTGGCCATTTTTGATAGCTTTCACATCAGAAGCCAGCTCAGATTACACCTTGTAACCTTCAAGAGATCAAGTGTGCAGATCCTTCAGCAGCTTGAACAATACATTCATTTCTTCTGAAGTGTCTGCGGGGAGTAAATCTATATTAATCACTGATTCGGAGCGTGTGCTAGGTCCAGGGTCAGTCTCGACATCACCCGATTGTAACAACAGAAGGGCAAAAGAAAAGAAATTGCATATGGTATCCTATAACACCCCTGGACACGGGAACAGTAGCAAACACCGATCATCAGTCTTTTTGGCGTGAAGAGAGGCGGCTGTACGCACCTGCATAGCGAAGACAAGGTGGTTAGGCATGCTGTTGTGAGCACTGCTCCCGTGTCCACCGATGTTCAGGTCGCTTGGCATGTTGCTTAGATCTTCGTTTCCTGGTGATGGCTGCGTCGATGAGGCTGGGGGGTGGATGGGAGCATCAAGCGAAAGTGCCAACACGCTGGGTGGTGCGCAGTCTAGCGGCACAGATGTGCTTGTGGCTTGTAGAAACGTTTGGAAAGGCGCAGGAATGCTTGATAAGCAGGACGGCCACTCGAGGATGATCGTGAACAAAGCCTGCATAGCGAAGACAAGGTGGTTAGGCATGCTGTTGTGGGCACCGCTCCCGTGTCCACTGATGTTCAGGTCCCTTGGCATGTTGCTTAAATCTTCGTTTCCTGGGGATGGCTGCGTTGATGAGGCTGGGGGGCGGATGGGAGCATCAAGCGAAAGTGCCAACACGCTGGGTGGTGCGCAGTCAAGTGGCGCAGATGTGCTTGTGGTTGGTAGAAACGTTTAGAAAGGCGCAGGAATGCTTGATAAGCAGGACGGCCATCCGAGGGTGATCGTGAACAAAGCCGGCATAGCGAAGACAAGGTGGTTAGGCATGCTGTTGTGGGCACTGCTCCCGTGTCCACTGATGTTCAGGTCCCTTGGCATGTTGCTTAAATCTTCGTTTCCTGGTGATGGCTGCGTCGATGAGGCTGGGGGGCGGATGGGAGCATCAAGCGAAAGTGCCAACACGCTGGGTGGTGCACAGTCAAGCGGCGCAGATTTATTTATTTATTTATTTATTTATTTATTAAAGGTACTTTCAAGGCCCGAAGGCACTACAGAAAGGAGTGGTTTGAACAATCGTAAGTGCAGTTAAAAAGTTAAAAAAAAAAACAGAAAACAGGAAAAAAAAGAAAAATTCTACAGGGCATCATGTATGGCGAGCTTGAAGTCTTTTTGGTCCGTTATACAGGCGATGGAGGCGGGAAGGTGGTTCCAGGCGGCGCTTGTCCTTGGCACGAATGAATCATTATATAGTCTGGTGCGACAGGATGGTAGGCCCACCTTAAAGCGATGATCCATCCTTGGTGATATGAAGCGAGGTGGATGAAACAGGGCGTCCTTCAAATGGCTGTTATAATGATAGATTTTGTGAAAAAGGTTAAGGCGAGACAATGTGCGGCGCAATGAAAGATCAGGCAAGTTTAGGGTGCTCTTCATGGATGTGACACTGGAATGACGTGAATAATTCGATAAAATGAAACGTGCTGCGCGATTCTGAGTGGTTTCGAGAGATTGAATGAGAATGGCATGAGTTGGGTCCCATATGGCGCATGCGTACTCTAATTTTGGTCTGACCAATGTTTTATACAGTGTTAACTTGAGTGACGATGGCGCAGAGGAAAAGTTACGGCGCAGATAACCAAGCATGCGGTTAGCGTTGTTAATCACATATTCTGTGTGTTTATTCCAGGAAAGATTAGAAGATATGTGAACACCAAGGTATTTGTAATTGTCAACAGATGGTAATGGAATGTTATTGAGGGAATAAGTACGCGGACAGTGGGTGGTAGTGCGACGTGAAACTTGCATGCTCTTGCATTTAGATATGTTAAGTGTCATGAACCATGTGTTACACCATGCGAATATGCTATCTAGGTCGCGTTGAAGGTTAAGGTGATCGACATGACTGGTTATTTTCTGGTAGAGGACGCAGTCGTCTGCAAAGAGTCGGACAGTAGAAGAAGAAACACAAGAAGGAAGATCATTAATGTAAATTAAGAAAAGGAGTGGCCCTAAAACGGACCCTTGCGGTACACCAGATGATACTGCGGAATTAGGTGAACAAAAATTATTAGCTGTCACGTACTGGCTGCGGTTAGAGAGGAATTCTTTAATCCATGTAAGTACATTGGGGTCGATGTTAAGCTGAGTAAGTTTGAAAATGATTAGTGCGTGTGAAACGGAGTCAAATGCTTTAGCGAAATCTAAGTATATGCAGTCAGTATCAAATTCAAGATCTGCGTTAATAAACAAGTCGTTAGTAAAACACAGCAACTGTGTTTCGCATGAAACTGTCTTACGGAAGCCATGCTGATAAATGCTAAAGAAGGAATTAGATTCAAGGAATTCAATGAGGTGCGAGTATATGACATGCTCTAAGATTTTCACTGGAATGGATGTTAACGATATGGGACGGTAGTTATTGGGGGAATGTACATCACCAGATTTATGCACAGGGACCACCTTCCCAGTCTTCCAGTCAGATGGCAGTGTGGACGTCTGTAATGACTGTTCAAAAAGTTTTGACAATATTAAAGAAGAATAGACTTGAGTACACTTCAACATTTTTGACGAAATGCAATCTGGACCAGCTGATGATGACACTGTCAAGTTTCCAACAAGTTTTTCGACACCAACTGCATCAATGATAATAGGGTCCATTGGCAAGAAATCGGTGCTTGTTAACTGTGGAAATATAGTTGGGATGCTGTTCTGAAAGTGTGCAGCAAATACATTACTCAGAACGTTGCAGCACTCGCTAAGAGCGACTGGGACATCAGACTGTATTAATTGGATATGTCGCGTTGTAGTTCCGCTAATGATGCTCCAAAACTTACGTGGATTAGAGCGCAGCAGCGAAGGAAGAGTTTCATCGAAAAATACTTTTTTGGCTTTCGAAAGCGCAGTACAGAATTCTCTGTTAAATGTCTGATAAAAAGACCAATGGTCTGTTCTGGCTGTTGATTTGGCGCGTCTGAATAGCCGCTTCTTTTTATTGCGCATGCGTTTCAACGTGTTATTGAACCACGGAGAACGAGGATTCGATGAAACTTTTCTCTTAGGTACAAATCGGTCAATTAGGGCTAGCAGTTTGTTCTTATAGTCTAGCCAGTTCTGTTCAACAGATCGCTGCTCAAAACCAGCAAAGAATAGGTCAACAAAAGATTGTAACTCTGTATTCATTCCATGAAAGTCCGCTTTGCTATAGTCTTGGATAATTTTTGTTCTTTTCTTGATGGAAACCCGTGCTTTTATTGTGAAGTGGATTATGCAATGGTCGCTAATTCCCGGTAGATGAGTGAAGGGTGAAGCTAGGTCAGGTGTACTGGTAAGTACTAGATCTAATACGCTAGCGGAAGTGGGAGTAACGCGAGTAGGAAAGTCAACAAGCTGGGTAAAGTTGAAGTCGTGACAAAAATTCAAAAATTCCCTACTTTCACCTGAGTTGTGCTTTAAGGTAACCGGGTCTCTTTCCCACATGATGTCGGGAAAGTTGAAATCGCCAAGAATGAACAAAGGTGATCTCGGGTATCTGACGAACAGCTGATTGACAACATCATGCAAGTCATTGCAAAAGGATGATGATGCAGTTGGTGATCGATAGCAAATACAAAATATTATTTCGCGAGAATCAATGAGCACGCGGACACAAACAAGTTCAAGTGAAGACATAACAGGAATAATATGAGAGGCAAGATTATCGGCAACCGCCAGCAGAACACCCCCACCAGACCGGTAATCGCGGTCGCATCGGTAAAATTTGTAGTGCTTCTCACAATCCAATATTTCTTCATTTCTTACTTTTGTAGAAAGCCAAGTCTCTGTCAGACCAACAATATCAGCGGAACAGGAATCAATAGCAGAAGACAGTTCGACGCGTTTATTCAGGACGCTGCGCACATTAGAAAAGAAAAAAGAAGCGTTTCCTGCGCAGCAACGAGACGGGCGTAGCTATGAGGTGCTAGAAGTGTCAGCACGTGCAGGTAGAGAGGGTTCTTTGTCCTTAGCTTGGGGTGAATTGATTTCGCGAACGCTGTCGCTTTCTGCGCAGTAAACGTAAGTTTTCTTGTTCATGACCAGTTTGTTAACGCGTAGCAAATACGGTTGCCCGGCTGCCTTAGCAAATTCCATTAATTTCTTCCTTGAATTTCGCGTGCTTTTGCAAAAATCTTCGCTAGCTGATACACCAGTTCCTTTGAATTTTTGTCTCTGCATCAGGATAGCATCTCTAACCTTAAATGACGAAAATTTGACGATAATTGGCCGAGCTTTTTTAGCGGCGTAACTTCCTAACCTATGTGCTCGGGAAACTTCGGAGTCAGAAATGTGCATGTCAAGGTGTCGGGAGAGTAGATCACGAACATGGCCTTCAGACTGAGCCCACGTCTCATTAGGGCTGTCCGATATACCAAAAAACAATACGTTCTCTCGTCTGGACCTGTCTTCAAGATCGTCCAGTCGGGCACTGAGTGTCTGGCCTTGCACCTTGACAGTTTCAGCGATTAGACGTGGCACATCACTGACTACTGCAGAACCGTCGCATGACTCGACGAAAGCTTCCACCGCCGACAACCTTTCCGTTAAATCAGCAACAGTTTGCGCTAATGCCTCCTGTTTAGTCTTTAGGTCGGCAAGAGCTTCCATTAGCTCATCGTGACGGTGATCACCTTTTTCAGATAGCTTAGCGATCGCGTCTAGTATTTCTTTGTTAGTATTTGCAGGGCCAGGGTTTAGTTCAACGTCTCCACAACATAGTAGAAGCTTTGTGACATGCACGCATTCGCACACACATTCAAATATGACACTTGGGCACGGTAGGAGCAGCAGACAGACGTTACTGGTTCGCTTACAGTAGAGAGAAGGAGGTTTACTGACCTGCACAAAAAGACCTGCACAGATATGCTTGTGGCTGGTAGAAACGTTTGGAAAGGCGCAGGAATGCTTGATAAGCAGGACGGCCATCCGAGGATGATCGTGAACAAAGCCTGCATAGTGAAGACAAGGTGGTTAGGCATGCTGTTGTGGGCACTACTCCTGTGTCCACTGACGCTCAGGTCACTTGGCTTGTTGCTTAAATCTTCGTTTCCTGGTGATGACTGCGTCGATGAGGCTCGGGGGGGGGGGTGGTGGATGGGAGCATCAAGCGAAAGTGCCAACACGCTGGGTGGTGCGCAGTCGAGAGGCGCAGATGTGCTTGTGGTTAGTAGAAACGTTTAGAAAGGCACAGGATTGCTTGATAAGCAAGAGGGCCATCCGAGGATGATCGTGAACAAAGCCTGCATAGCGAAGACAAGGTGGTTAGGCATGCTGTTGTGGGTACTGCTCCCGTGTCCACTGACGTTCAGGTCGCTTGGCATGTTGCTTAAATCATCGTTTCCTGGTGATGGCTGCGTCGATGAGGCTGGGGGGTGGATGGGAGCATCAAGCGAAAGTGCCAACACGCAGGGTGGTGCGCAGTCGAGCGGCGCAGATGTGCTTGTGGCTGGTAGAAACGTTTGGAAAGGCGCAGGAATGCTTGATAAGCAGGACGGCCAGCCGACGATGATCGTGAACAAAACCTGCATAGCGAAGACAAGGTGGTTAGGCATGGTGTTGTGAGCACGGCTACCGTGTCCACTCTTCGTCCACATGCCCTTCCTTCGTGCTCCTCTTTGTCTTAGCACTGACTACGTACAAACATAGTTCGCGCTTGACGCATCTTCAAGAAATTGAAATAGTTATAGTGTATTTTTTGTAGAATATATTGTGATGACGCGAGATTGACGAGCACACAAAGCGCCTCAAACAAATACGATTTATCGGTCGCAGGAAACAGACTGCAAAGACTTCTTCGTCTTTTACCCTCGGCCAAAGACACTCGCGCTCCTTCGTTGTCCTCACCACTGGCACATACGCGCGTCATTATTCCCCCTTTAAAAAAACATCGTCCCGATGTTAAACGTTTGAGAAGCAAGGCGAAACCAAAACTGCACAGTTAGTCACTGAAAGGAAGGCTTCATCCGAAGCACGTGGACAATTTCTGGTGAATGTCTGCGTCGCTTTGAACACTGCACGCCGTCCGGAACAACCTCGTAGTTGACGTCACTAATGCGTCGCAGAACCTTGTAGGGTCCGAAGTATCTTCGCAACTGCTTTTCGGAAAGCCCACGCTGACGAACAGGTGTCCAGACCCATACTTTGTCGTCCACGTTGTATATGACGGGTCTGTGCCGGAGGTTGTAATACTTGGCATCGTCGTCTTGCTGTTTGGTGATTCGCAACCTGGCAAGTTGTCTGGCTTCTTCTGCTAGCTGGGTAAACTCTTGGGCGTCTGTCTCATTGCCATCATTTTCATGAGGGAGCATTGCGTCTAACGTTGTTGTAACCTCGCGTCCGTAGAGGAGACTAAAGGGTGTCTTCCGAGTGGTCTCTTGACGAGCTGTGTTGTAGGCGAACGTGACGTAGGGCAAAATGATGTCCCAGTTCTTGTGCTCTACATCTACGTACATGCTTATCATGTCAGCCAGGGTCTTGTTGAGGCGTTCGGTGAGCCCGTTGGTCTGGGGATGATACGCCGTTGTCTTCCTGTGAGCTCTACCACTTAGTCGGAAAATGGTGTTCAAAAGCTCGGCCATGAACGTAGTACCTCTGTCGGTGATTACTATTGCGGGGGCACCGTGTCTTAAGACGATGGCTTCGATGAAAAATTGCGCCGCTACAGCGGCCGTTGCCCGTGGCAGAGCGCCTGTCTCCGCGTATCGGGTCAGGTAATCCGTGGCGACGATTATCCACCTGTTTCCAGTGGCAGACTTTGGGAAGGGGCCCAGAAAATCCATGCCAATTTGTGCAAACGGTGTCGCCGGCACTCGAACTGGCTGCAGCAGGCCAGCTGGTTTGATGGATGGTGGCTTGCGGCGCTGGCAATCTAGACATGCCTGCACGTAAGTTTTGACAACTTCGGCAAGTCTTGGCCAGTAATAGTTCTGCCTTATCCTCGCCAATGTTCTTGCGTAACCCAAGTGACCAGTGGTAGGTTCGTCGTGACAGGCTTGCAGTACCTCACGGCGAAGCGAAGAAGGAACGACGAGCAAGTAGCTGCTGCGGGTGGGTGAAAAGTTCCTCTTATAAAGAACGTCATTTCGCAAGCAGTACGACGGCAGCCCTCTCGCAAATAACTTCGGAACGCTATTCGCTCGCCCTTGTAGGTAATCTATAAGTGGTAGCAGCTCAGCATCGCCACGCTGCTGTTGAGAAAAGGTGGCAGTGTCCACAATTCCGAGAAAGGCCGTGTCGTCATCGTCGTTGTCCGGGGATGCCGTCTCAACAGAAGACCGAGAAAGACAGTCGGCATCGGTGTGTCGTTTTCCTGATTTGTAGGCAACAGTGATGTCAAATTCTTGGAGCCGAAGACTCCATCGTGCAAGGCGGCCAGACGGATCTTTCAAGTTGACTAACCAACAGAGAGAGTGGTGATCGCTGATAACGGTGAATGGGCGGCCGTACAAATAAGGACGAAACTTCAGGACTGCCCATACCATTGCAAGACATTCTTTTTCCGTCGTAGTGTAATTAGCTTCAGCTCGGGACAGCGTCCTGCTGGCATAGGCGATCACGTTTTCATTGTTGTCCTTCGACTGTACGAGCACTGCTCTAAGACCCACATTACTAGCGTCTGTATGAAGTATTGTCGGTGCGTCTTCATCGAAGTGGGCCAGCACGGGGGGTGTTTGCATTCGCTGACGAAGCTCGTGAAATGCCTGCTGTTGGTCTTCGCCCCATCTGAAGGGGGTATCTTCCCGAGTAAGCTGTGTCAATGGCCATGCGATGCGCGAAAAATTAGCAATAAACCGCCGGTAGTAGGCACAGAGACCTAAAAAAACGTCGCACTGATTTTTTGTCTGATGGTGTCGGGAAGTTTGCCACGGCGGCAATTTTATCCGGGTCGGCTCGGATCCCTTGGCTGCTCACGACGTGACCGAGGAATCGAAGTTCGTGGAAGCCGAAGTGGCACTTTTCTGGTTTTAGAGTAAAACCGGCCAAGCGTATTGCTTCAAAAACTGCTTCGAGCCTTCGTAAGTGTTCCTCGAAAGTCGCCGAAAAGCCAATCACGTCATCGAGGTACACCAAGCAGGTTTGCCACTTAAGTCCCAACAGAACCGTGTCCATGAGACGCTGGAATGTTGCTGGTGCCGAACACAAACCGAAAGGAAGAACCTGAAATTCATAAAGTCCGTCGGGCGTAACAAAGGCGGTCTTCTCACGATCTCTCTCATCCACTTCAATTTGCCAGTAGCCGCTTTTTAAGTCCATGGACGAAAAGTAGCGTGCGTTTCGTAGTCTATCCAATGAATCATCAATACGCGGCAGAGGGTAGATGTCTTCTTTGTGATCTGATTAAGCTTACGGTAGTCGACGCAGAAACGCAAGCTACCATCCTTCTTTTTCACGAGTACTACAGGTGATGCCCAAGGACTGTTAGACGGCCGAATAACACTATCTTCTAGCATCGTTTTCACCTGTTTTTGAGTGACCTCACGCTCCTTTGGGGCGACTCGATAAGGATATTGCCGGATGGGTCTGGCTTCGGAATCCGTGATGATGCGGTGTTTCGTCAGTGCCGCTTGACCAACTCTTGATGTGGATGAGAAGCAGCCGTGCAACTTGTTGATCAGCGTGAGAAGGCGGTCTCGCTCAATGGGAGATAACATAGGACCAACGTCTACAGGTGTCGGTGTAGTGATAGTAGACGCTGCTGCTTCCTCCACTAAA